CTGTTTATATGAAATATTATGAGCTTACAGGTGGACAAGGTACGGTGTATTCGGCCAAAGGGTCGGGAATAATTTGACGATAACTTGCACAGATATGCAGATTTCGGACCGAGTCGGCCGCGTTCTGATTCACCTGTCAGCGTCCTACGTATGTGGATACGTCATTCAGACACGCCTATAGGAGAGGATTTCAGTGTTAATTAAGAACCGACAATAACAACAGTGCTCCGATTTGTGATGGATCGTTACAAGGATATACAAAATTTACCTATATAAAGACAACGGAAGGTGTACCGGTGATGACAAGTTGTGGGTTTTTATGTAGATTAGTGACGTCATCGATGTAAGTAAATAACCAATGGTATTTTACATCCCAGTTTCTACAGGACTATCTACGTAGTATTATATAAGCTACGTAATCGAGTCAGTCAATTCAACGTTTCATATTGCATATAACCAATATATTTACCTCGACCGAGTTATTATTTGTACAGATGTACCACCGTTATACACAGCGATAGAACAGCCATATATAGACAGACTATCAACAAGACAAGTCCTTTTATTTCATACTGGTTTTTAAAACTCTTAATTAGGAAAGGTAAGGTTTTATATCCTTTAACACGTCGGTGATAGCGCAGTGATTCATACTTTAAGGAAATTAAGATAAAATTACACGCCGGATACAGATAGACTTACCTGTGATCTATCGACGTACAGCGATTGGATGGGGCAGACGGGTTTTACAGTTACCAATAGTTTATTTTAATCCTGCGGAGATTTACATTGTCATCAAATACAGTGTCTGTCTTACATCGACAACCGGACGCATACAGTGAAGACCAGTTCAACATCTGTACTGATGACTACGTAAATTTTGAAAACGAATTAATTCGATAATTATATCATTAAATACGAATCAATTCTACCGACATATTGTTGAATACGGAAAAGTGACACTTATGAAAACGGATTAATTCAACTAGTTCAACACTTGAATACGAACCAATCCACTGAAGGATATCTGATATAAAGTACGGCGGAGTGTATCGGTATCAAAATGGGTTGTTGTGAATCAAAGAATCTTACATACAACATAGAAAATGACGATAAAAACAGCGATATTGTTATCACGGATATAGTGGCTTACGGGAAATCACTAGAAAATGACAAAGGTGTATTGGATGATATCAACGGCAATGTGACCATCACCACAGAAACAGTTATCGTAGAGGATAAAAATTTGAAACAAGACGAATCAGAATTCACCGATGTTGATCTAAATGATCAGGACGCAGCTAATTTTGACTCAGCAAAATTAGAAATAAGTGATTTAAAGGGGACAGAACCACCCACAGAAGATGAGACTGATGCTGAAAAAGATACAGAAGAGGAGTCAACGGTGTCTCTTCCGCCTCCAAGACCTCCACAGAAACTCCGGAAAGATCTCGTACCCGACGTCAAGGTCTTCGCTAGAATAGACAATATAGCTGAACAGGTAATTAAACATTAATGACATCAATTAAAGAGTAAAACTTTTATTCTGTGTTCAAAACCAGTCCCTGTTAAGGTGATAATTTGTGTAAAGAAAACACCGTTTGCCAATGATTTGTAAGAACTTTGTAGATACTTTAAGTCGAATACCGTTTCCGATCGACTTTTTGGCCGCGTTGATTTAAGCGAGTTACAAAAAAGTAAATCGCCACACACAGTCCATGCTTGAGCAAGAGTACTGATTCATGATTATGGGCCCAGATTTCTGGACAAGTATGCTCTAGGATTAATTATTGTCATTCAATATGATAATAATATAAACTATTTCAACTAATTGTGCTTTCAAACGTATCTTGATACCATAGTTTGATCTATTGACGGGTACCACATGTGCTGACGGGATCACCAGTATAGCCTTAGGACGATTGTCGGTTCATTGTGAAGATTTCCGTTTCTTCTGATGTTTTTCTCATTTTGTCCCTATTGTTTTTCTTGAATCTACTCTGTGTCGTTTAGATCAGTAAATGTTTGGGAAAATCTACGTAAAGTGACGTATATTAGGTGGTTTATTTAGTGAACAGTGACAACACTAGAGTGGATTCAAGTATATGAGCTAATAAATAATTTGTTTTTAAATCAAATATTGTAAATAACATTATTTTCGCAAGATATTTTTTTTTGTGATAATTTGCGACAAAAGTCATTAACAAATATAAAAATTCCAAAAATATTTATTTCATGAATAATAACCATTAACATCGAAATAGAATATAACACCCTCTTTGGCGGCAAATTTAATTATTTGAAGAACAAAATCTTCAGGTTCAATTCGTGAAATAATGTACACGCGAAATGAGTGATTTGCAGTGTATTAATTAGTATAAGATATCTCTAATTACATTAAACATTACCACACACTTGGAACTTATTACCATTGTGTATATACGATTCTACTAGAGAGGCTTGATAACAGAAACTAGGAGGCTAACAATACTTTTTGTTTGGTGTTCTCCATGTACCTGTAATTGTTTAAAGCTAACAATGGAACACGTGCATGTATACTGATATAAGTAGCTAGGAAGATGACGATGCTTTTTGTTTGGTGTTCTCCATGGTCCTGTAATTGTTTAAAAGTATGTTCCTGTAATTGTTTAAATCTGACAATGATACAGGTGTACTGAGACCAGTTACCAAGAAGCTAACAATACGTTTTATGTAGTGTTTTCGATGTTTCTGTAATTGTTTAAATCTAACAATCGTACACATATACCGATAACAGTAACCAGGAAGCTGACAATACATTTTGTTTGGTTCCTGTTATTGGTTACCAAGCTAACAACACTGTGAGTGCTATATAACGAAATACATTACTTTACTCTGTCGATAAGATGGGTGGTTTACCGGCCACTTACCTAGCCACGTACTGGACAAAACATGACAGCCTGTCGACAATGTCCTGGGTTATTAATGCGTACCTTTATGGCTTTTATCGTATACTGATATGCAGTATGACCCCATTACTATGTGCAGTATCACGAACAGGACGTCACAAGAAGCAGTACAGTGACGTCACAAATTTACGACAAAAACAAAAACTGGGCTCGTATTCACAAAACCGTTCTCATGCTCAAACTCAGGTCCTGTGCTCAAGCCAATTTTTTTTATGCTGGTGATAAATTAAGAAAACACATAATTTGGTAAATAAAATCGGGGGGAAAAATTGAAAATTTTAAACCCAAAAATTGTTTTTAATGGTTGAACATGATATTTCGACCGTAGCACATGATATAAGTGCGTTAAGAGAAAGTTGCACTGAGCACAGAATCCATGCTTTAGCATGAGAACGGTTTCATGAATACGGGTCATGGTGTTTCCCAGTCACGTTTTTTTAACATGTTTTATCTGGAGCATTTGATGAAAGAACTCAAACTCGTTCCCTTTCCATCTGTTTTTTTTATGAGACGTGCTTTCATATACATAGGGGGTTGCTTGAGATTTCCGTGCGAGTTAATTGTTATAACAAGAACAATATGCAGAAAAAAAGCAAAAACAAAAATGCTTTTCGCTTGATGAATATTGTTTCCTTGCATAACATCATACATAAATAGATCAATTTCGATACACCCTTCACATAGTTTGATAACTGAAAAGTGTCCTAGCTGCTTTGTAAATGACTTTCCTTTCTATAAAGCAGGAGACATCACAAAGATTGTCACACCTATTACAGTTAAATAATACTTGAGTTTCGTGATGTCCTTCTGTGTATCTTGGTATCTCATTCTTTCCACCTTTTATCTTTTCGTATTGAGTTTGATTGTGTTGTTCCAATTTAGATCTTGAATGTTGGCATGTTCATGCATATTCTTTTCTGTATTACTTTTCAATTTATATCTCATGTGACGTGTTTTGTAATTTCAGGTACCCAAAACAGAACAAAAAACAGTGGAAGCCCTCGCCAAATACCTTACCGACGACTGAAACAAAGAATGATAATGAATAATCATGTGCAACTTACCACGTACAAGTTTAAAGAAATGGTTCAAGCTTAAATACTCAATCAGATATGATGGCAAGTGTGCAAAACATGTGGTACTGTTTGAGTATCATCCTTGTGTTGGGGTCACAGCCTAACCATACATATAGAGACAAACTACTGGTGGTATTATACGGAAGTCTATAAACTTATCAAGATTTTCCTTAGGTATAAACAATATGAGAAAATGTCATAATATCTGATGGGTATACATACCTGTTGTCGGTACAAACAAACAGTTGACTTTTATTTGCTTACGTGATAACAACAAATTGTGTACGTCATTGTTTTTGTCTGGTAAATCTGATGAAAAAATAAGTTCATACTTTAGTCTCCAGGTTGAATGTGATGCCACCTAGAACAAGTTCAATTTTTACCAGCTTAATTTTATATTCACTTACAATCAGTTGTATTCTCATTTTGTTTTT